GCGCACGTCTTGATTCTGACACAATCCTTAGAGTGCGCTGGCGCGCGCTCTTTCCAAGCGTCGAGGAACAAACTGCAGATGATACATAGTTCAAAATTCGAAGGTCCGCACGGATTTCTTGGGTCGGCGCGGTTCCCTCCTGACGGCGCCTCCAGCGCCGCCCCTGGCACCTTCCACGCGACAGGGAGGTGGGCCCCGATCTAACAACTCCTCGTGGACCCCCGGAAGGTTCTGTTCACATCGTACTGAGCTCCTCTCAAGTGCCCTCGGCCGGTCGCCCAGCTGCCCCCCCCCACTCACCCCTGTCTCCTTCTCCTCCGTGTCCCCAGGAGGTGGGCCCTAAGACCCTCTGAAGGGTTCGCCCTGGAGGCTTCGGCGCTTGGACGGTCTCTCCCAGTAAGGGCTCCGGCCCAAGGATCTCTCCGTCCGTGTGGCCTTCGGCTCCCAGACCGCTGACATCAGAAGCCAGCTCGGGCGCACGCAGGACATCTTCTCGGAGTGCGAACGTCTGTCCGGCCTCCGTCTGAATGCAGAGGAAACGGTGGTCGTTTTGCTGATCCAGTTCGACGGCTTCACTGCTGTGAGGTCAGTTCCGCATCGCAGAACAAGCGCCCCTCCTCCTCCTCCTCCTCCTCCTCCTCCTCCTTCTACTTTTCCTCTTCCTCCTCCTCCTCCTCCTCCTCCGCCTCCTCCTCCTCGTCTTCCTCCTCCTCCTGTGTCCGTGGGCGGGGGGTGGAGGGGGAGGGGGCTTGTCGTCTGCGCGTCTGGCCGGCAGGCCTGCGCGCAGATTGGCAGGCCCTGCGTCAGCACGTTTCAAGCACGGGCCCAGCAGAGTCCATGCACTGGGCAGGTTTATGACCCCCAAGTTTCTATTGTCATACCCTATCACGCCGGGGGCGGAGAAGCGACACCAACACCACCAGGGGGCCCACCTCCAGCGAGGAGGTCCACGATGCCTCCCCGAGCTGGAGGCTTGGGATGTCTCGAGTCTCGAGCGAGAGGGGGGGGACCACACCGACAGGGAGACCCCTTGCCTCCTCGCATCTCCTCGCACTGGTCGTGTTGGTGTCGCCTCTCCTTGTTCCTCCCCCCTCCCCCCTCCATCCTCCTCCCTCGTCCCTCCGGCCTCCTCCAGCCGAACCGCACCCCTCCATCTCTCTCCCTCCCCCGCCACGTCTCCCACCTCCTCGGCGGCCGAGCCAGGGGCGAGCCGCCCCCCGCAGGTGCACGCGGACGACGTCCCGCAGATACTGGCGCACATGGGGCTCCGGCGGCCGAGGAAGGGGGGACGGAGAGAGGAGGGAGGAGGGAGGAGGGAGGAGGGAGGAGGGAGGAGGGAGGAGGGAGGGGGGAGGAGGAGGAGGAGGAGGAGTAGGTAGAGGAGGAGGATAGGAGGAGGAGGAGGAGGAGGGAGAGGGAGGAAAGGAGGAGGTGGAGGGAGAGGGATGAGGAGGGAGGCAGGGAGGGAGGGAGGAGGGACGCAGGAGGGAGGGAGGGCGGAATGAGGAGGGATGAAGATGATAGAAGATGAGATAGATGTGATGCTGCTGTTGATGATGAATGATGGTGGGATGATGATGATCATGATCATCATCATGATGCTGATGATGCTGCTGCTGCTGCTGATGATGATGATGATGATGATGCTGATGCTGATGCTGATGCTGATGCTGATGCTGATGCTGATGCTGATGCTGATGCTGATGCTGATGCTGATGATGCTGATGCTGATGCTGCTGATGCCTGCTGATGCTGATGCTGATGATGATGCTGATGATGCTGATGATGCTGATGATGCTGATGATGATGATGATGATGATGATGTTGTGGTGGTGGTGATGATGATGATGGTGGTGGTGGTAGTGGTGGTGGTGGTGATGATGTTGATGATGATCATGATGATCATGATGATGATGATGCTGATGATGATGATGATGATGATGATGATGATGATGATGATGATGGTAAGGATGATGAGGAGGAGGAGGAGGAGGAGGAGGGAGCCTCCCTCAGAGAGGAAGGGAGGTAGTGAGGGAGGCAGGCAGGGAGGGAGTGAGGGTGGGCGGAAGGAGGAGGGATGATGAAGGTGATGATGATGCTGATGATAATGATGTTGATGATGATGATGCTGATGATGATGATGCTGATGATGATGCTGCTGATGATGATGCTGATGGTGGTGATGATGATCGTGGTGGTGATGATGATGATGAACCTGATGATGCTGATGATGACGATGATGGTTCTGAGAATGATGATGGTGGTGGTGATGCTGATAATGATGGTGATGATGTTGATGATGCTGCTGCTGATGATGATTATTAGGAGGAGGAAGAGGAGGACATATACTATAATATAATATAATATTAATAGTAGTATAATAATAATATTAATAATGATAATAATAGTAATAACACGGATAGTAACAATAACATTACGAAAACTAATTCTAAACATCGTATTAATGATAGCAACTATAAACATAAGGAGGAGGAGGAGGAGGAGAAGGAGGAGGAGGAGGAGGAGGAGGAGGAGGAGGAGGAGGAGGAGGGAGGAGGAGGAACTTGAGGGGGAAAGGAGGAGGCTTAGGGATGAGGAGAGGATGAGGGGGGGAGTGAGGAGGAGGAGGAGGAGGAATGAGGAAAGGGGAGGAGGAGGAGGAGGGTGGAGGGGGAAGGATGTTGGCTCAAGCTGCCGTTGCCCGGCCAGCCCCCGCCCCCGCCCCCCCTCACCCGTACTTCCTCCCCCCCTTCCCGTTCGCTTTTCTTCCTTTCCCTCCGGGCGCGCCGGATTGCTCTTGCGCGCTGTGGCGCGCAAAGGCATGCGCTGGTGGCCCTCGCCAGCGCGGCTGGGGCCCGAGGTGGCTGGGCGTGGGGGGCGCTACAGGCCGCCTAGTATCCGCGAGTTCGTGAGGCAGTGAGAGGCGTGGTTTCGGGGGTTGGTGCGGCGGGTGCAGCAGCCTTCGAAGCGGCCACGGAGTGGTGCGAGGAGGCTGCTCAGCGTGCTGGTGCTGATGGTGCTCGTTCCTCCGTGCGTCGGCAGCAGCTGTGTGGCGCCGTCGTCGTGGTCGCCGTGGCGGGCTGCTTCTTCACATGCCTCGGCATCGGCGTCGCCTGCTGACGTGGCCCGCTCTGCTTCCTCGGCGGCACGGCCTGGGCTCGCCGCCTCCCTGCCGCCGCCCGCAGCCCATCACCAGCCGGAGCGCCTGGCGGATGACGTGCAGGCCGGCGGCCAGCCAGCGGAGGAAGCGGCTGCCGCCCGCCGCTCGGTGTCTCCAGCGGCGGTCCGGGCTTCGGGCACGGCTGGTACACTGGCGGAGGCCGCACCATGGTCCCCAGGATTTCACCGAGCGCGTTCCTTTACTCGCTAAGTGCCTACTCGCAAACGTCCGCAAAATACAGTCTGCTTTCATGTAATTTCTCGTAGATCCCCCGCGGGGGGTCCAGGCCAGTTGCGAGTAGTTACGTTGCGAGTCGTGGAACGCGCTCGTCTAGGATTGGGGGCTCGCGCGCATCTCTTCTCGGAGGCTGGCTGCGCGACCCGACGGCCCCCCGGGCGGCCCCGCATTGGGCCCAACTGCATGCCAGCGTTGACAGCGGCCTCCAGCAGACTGTCCGCGGCGGCGGCGGCTTTCTTTTGAGGCCTGCTGCGGCGCTCGCCGAGGTGGAGGAGGAGGAGGAGGAGGAGGAGGAGGAGGAGGAGGAGGAGGAGGAGGAGGAGGAGGAAGGAGGAGGAGGAGGGATGGCTGCTTAGGAGGAGTAGGAGTAGAGGAGCGGAGGAGGCGTTGGAGGAGGAGGGAGATGAGCGGGGAGGAGGGGAGGAGGCGAGAGGAGAGGGAGGAGGAGTGGGCCCTGCCGGCCGAGGTGGGGCCCCGGATCCAGGAGGCATGGCGGGCTGCCGTGCCGAGGAGGGCCTCGAGGCGCGCGCGCCGCTTCGGCCGGGCCTTCCGCCGCGGCGCGGCGCCTGGGCCGGCTGGCACTCGGAGTGCGCACAGCAACCGAAAGATCCTCAGGAGGGGAAAAAACACACAGACACAATTAATCGTCGATTTCACCGAAAATATGGGAAAATATGGGAAGTGGGGGGGAAGACAAAAACCCTAGAAAATATGGGAAAATATTGGGAATTGTTTTATTTGTGTGTATTTATTTGTGTGTCCTGGGGCCCCTTCAGATCCGACGCCCCGACGCAAATTGGAGCCGCCAGTTTTGGGCCGTTTTCGGCCTCCGAGGGCCCTCGCCGGGCCTCGGGGCCGTCAAACAGAATTGACTCCGGATGACAGGCCGGCCCTATAGGAGAGCGGTCCAGACCTCCCGGGCCCACGCATCGACAACAATTGGAGCGGCCGGATGTCCGGGAAGACACTCGCCAAATTCCTTTGAGGCGTCGAGGCCATGAGGGGGTCTGCCGAACCAGAGGCCTGAAGCTTGTGGGACGAGGAGGACCGTCTTCTGTGGCACGCGGAGGTGATGGAACCTTTTGGTTTTGGCGAGCGGAGGGAATATGATGAGAATTCGGCCCGCCTCGTAAGCTCAGGCCCCTGGCCCAGACTGAGTCTCTCTTGAAGTTGGTGGAGACGGCGGCCATCGATGAGATCGTGGCGGAGCTGCGGTAGTGGCTTGAGCCCCATCAGCTGGGGGTCGCCACGCCATATGGGCCCATTGTCGCGGTCAAGGTGCTGCGGGGTCGGCTGGCGGCCATAGAAAGAAAGATGTAGGAGGAGGGTCGCGAAGGAGATGCGTCGCAGCTGCCGGGTGCGGAGGAGTGCGTTGCGGAGCTGGACCTGGAGAGCGCGTACGGGCGTCTCTACTGGTCGCGCGTGTTTGCCGCTGCGCGCACGCGGTGACGTGCCGCCAGTGTGGCCGCTGCGCAGTGGCGTTGCGGCCGCACCCGCATCTGGCAACGCATGCCAGCCGCGCAGTGGGCGTGTGTTTCCTCCTGCATGGGGCGGGTTCCAAGGCTCCCGCTTGGCCCAAGTCATCCTTGGGTTGCATCTCGAGGGCATCTTCGACGAGATGGAGACCCTGCGCGCCGTCGCGGCCAGGCTCGACGTGGCCGACGGCAGTTGCCCAGCTTGCCAGCGGGGGAGCCTCGTGGAGCAGCGGCCGGTCTCGGAGGAGAAGCTGGAGGAGCATGGGCAGCGCCTGCAGCCCGCACACTGCAAGGTCTCGATTTTGTGCTGGAGCACCGTGGGAGCTCCAGTCGAGTAGTGGCGAAAAAGCGTCCTGGCCAGGCTATTTTTAGGTCCACCAGGCAATGCTCTAAGGACCTTCTCTTGTTTACGAGATGTTCTTACAACACTTCTGGCTGGGCCTGTTTTGCGTTGGTACGTCGGGCTTAGTTCTAAGAGCACTGTTTCGCACTTGGAACAGTTCGGGGATCTGAGGGCATGTCGTGGTAGGTCTGTAGGACTGCTGGGACGGTCGGTCCCTGCTCAATCAAAGAGTGCCCCCTTCTGAGGAGATCCATCATTTTTGTCGAACGCGTTCCCCTCGAGACGGGGGCTCTGCCGCTGCCTGGCACAGCTGCTCAGGGCCGCCTCAAGACGGCGCTCGGGCCGCGGGCGGCAGTGTGGCGGTCGGTCACCACCTACCAAAGCACCCCAACCCAACCCGAAGGCTTCAACTTGCCCTCCACTTCCGTTGGGGGGGGGTCCGGGAGCATGGACAAAAACACACATGGAACCCGTACCCACCCCCTACCCGCAATTCGGGTCTTCGGGTTGGTCTAGGGTGGTCTGGCAGGTAGCCAAGTCGGCGCAGCGTCGCGCCGAGGCAGCGTGCCGCGACTTGACCAGGCTGGAGTGACTGGTGCCTGTGTGGTTCACCGAACGCGTTCCACTACCCGCAAAGTGCCTACTCGCAAACGTCCGAAAAGCACATGTCTGTTTTGACGTAATTTCTCGTAGATGCCCCGCGGGGGATCCAGGCCATTTGCGAGTAGCTACTCTGCGAGTAGTGGAACGCGCTCGTCTAGTAGTACACGCTGAGGCAGACCAAGCGGCGTACACCACCAGCCAACGCTCTGTGTGTCGTTTTTGGCTCCAGGCTCCAGGCCCAGGTCTCGGCTCACGGGCCCCTCGGCCGGAGCAGTGGTGTCCGGGGCACCTCTCCTGGCCGTGCGTGCAGGAGCAGCCCGCGGCACACACGCGCATCAGGCCAGGCGTCCTCACGACGCCCGGTGGCGAGACACCGGGGTCATGAACGAGGCAATGATTCATCTCATAAGGCAGACCATTGCAGCTGAATTCGCCAAGGTCGCGGACAGCAGCGACAGGAACGGGGAGCGGCCGGGCGTGCGCATGAAGATCGTCGTTTCCTGCACCTGCGTGCGACGTCGAGGGAGGCGGCGGACGAACGGTGGACCAGACGATGGACGTGGGCAGCATTCAACTGATAACAGATACTCTTGCTAGTCGCACGGCGGTGTCGGAAGGGAGCGTCTCTGGGCCCATGGCTTTGTCCGCCCAGGCAGTTGGCTTGGAGGTGAACTTGAGCGGGACAACCTGCGCAAACACAACACCTGAACTGCGTGACGATGACGATCTTCCTCCCGGCTCTCTCGTGCAGGCTACCCAGACGCTCAGCGAACACACCATCGGTGCTTCCATTGAAAAGCTTGCAGCCGCAGTGAAGGGCGACTTAAGGCAATTGCTAGTCGAGAAGATCGAGGAGAAGAGCATGATGTTCCTGGAAATCGACGAACAGTTTATCGCTATGGCGTGGTTCATCGACGAGTCTTTCGGCGACTTCGAGAATAATCTGGCACCCTCAGCCCTGGATTGTAGAACGGCGGATGGCTCACCAACGTGGACGTGCTTTCCGTTCAGTAGTTAGCAGCGGCTGTTCAGTCGATCCTGAAATTGCAACGAGTAGAACTGTGTGCAGGGCCCTGGACTGTGCCATCCAGATCTGTCCGTGGGTGTTCGTGGAGGAGCACGCGGGCCGCTGACAAGGGCATGTTGCGGGGCGCTGGAGGTGCTGCTCGCTGGCCCGCTGGACCACCAAGCCCGACAGCAAGCGACCCTCCTGGGCTCGCTCGGCGGGCTGTCGCACGGCCTCCCGTCACGTGAGCGTGCGGCGACGGCATTTCTGAAAACGCATCTGGCGCATGCGCGGGAGGGAGGCCGCATCGCTTTCTGCACGGCTGGGAAGGGGGTACTGCGGCCGACCTGAAGAGGAAGCCGCAGCCCGCGCCGCCGAGACACTCGAGGCCGCGGGCGCCGAGGTCCGCGACGGTGCGCCTTCCTTCACAGCTGCTGCCCCGCGGCTGTACGAGGCGCGGCCTCGGCGCCATGATACGGTCACAAATGAGGTGTTCAAGTTCCCCGCACATGCCGGCGCAGCCCGAGCACACGTTGATGAACCGCCTGCGGGTGCACCGCCGGCTGGCCCGCCGCCCATGCCCAGCGCAGGCGCCCCTACGGCCGCATGCTTCGAGGCCTGGGTGCACTGGCCGCCACGGCGCTCCACGTGGAGTTGGATGTCCACCGCCAGACGTGCTTGCTGGAGGGGGGCAGCCCTGGCACGGGCATGCCGTGGTCTGCGGTGCTGGACCGCCCTGCCCTGCGCATGGCCAGCTCGCAGCGACCGTGCGCCACCACGAGGCGCCTGGACATAGGCCGGGCACCGCAAGCAAGCCTGACATGTGCGCTGCAGCCTATGGCCCGCAGCGCGGGTGCGGGGCGGCTGTGGTATCATACGGCCGCCGTGGCGGTGCTCGCGAAGCATCTTCGTGCGACTTGTGCTGTCGTGGCGCTGGAGGCTGCCATCCCGTAGGCGTGCCATGCTGATGACGCTGGCACGGCCCACGAGACGGTTACGCACCTGCTGGCATGGTGGCCCCGGGGGCAGCGGCGGGCTCCTCCTGGACGTCACGATCCGGCACCCGTTCGCGGTCGGGGGCGCGCGCGCACGAGATCCCGGGCGCGGCGGCGCGGCCATTCGCCATGGAGCATGCAGGGCGGCCGCCGGGGGGGGGGGGGGGGCAGAGGCTCTGGAGGCGCATATGCCGCTGCACCAGGCGAGCGCAGAATAAATACAGGCGGGCGCGCCCTGGTGCCTCCCGCGTGTCCGCGCTGTGCGTGCGCCGGGCGCGCGCCGACCTGGCGGCGGAGGTCGCGCGACGGTCCGCCAAGGTGTGCCTCGCTGCGCTGGGCAGTCCGGCGCTGCGCTCGCTCGCGTGGGCCACGGCGGCGCAGCAGGGGAGGCGGGCCCGCGACCCGCCCGAGCGCCGAGGACCGGAGAGACGGTGGCTGGGCCGGTGCGTCCAGCCGGGGCATCGCTTTCAGGAGATTGTCCGTTGCCTTTGCCTGGGAGGGGGGGGGGGGCAGGAGGATGAGGAGGAGGAGGAGGAGGAGGAGGAGGAGGAGGAGGGCGAAGAGGGAGAGGAGGATGGGGACAAGGAGGAGGCTGGGGGCCTGGATACTCCATTCTTCCACGCCCTCCTCCCCTCCACAATTACTCAATATGAGTACTACTCTCCCTCTTCGCCCGATGGCGGCCTGAAAGTATTAGACCCCCCCCGCGTACTGTTTTTTACACACAGGATTCCTGGGAGTTGGGTTTTCGCCTGCGTTTTTTTCCAAAATGCTGCTCTCGCTGAGGCACCGGCCTCATTTCTGCTCCCGAATCGTTCCGAATCGTGCTCCCGCTGCAGCGTGGGCCTCATTTTCGGATCGGTGTTTGGCCTCCGTCGTTCAGGATGGCGTTCTCCCCCCAGCGCGGGCCTTTTTCTCGCGCGCCCATCCGCCCGCCACCACCGCGCCGCACCGCCACCACCACCACCACCACAACCACCAGCCACCAAACCACCACCACCACCAGCACACCACCACCACCACGACCACCACCACTACCACCACCACCACCACCACCACGACAACCACGCACACACGCACGCACGCACGCACGTGCACCACCACCCACTACGCACGCGCGCGCGGAGCCACAGGTCCGCTACGACACGCGTCCGCGGATAGAGAAAATCAGCGCCATGGTAAGGGATGGGAGGGAGGGGTAGGACGTCAGATATGACGCGAGCGCACCTAGCTTGTCCCTCCCCCTCCCCTCCTCCCTCCCTCCTCCTCCCCTTATTCCCTCCTCGTCCTCCCCCTCCTCCCTCCTCCCACTCCCCCCTCTTCCTCCCCTCTCCTCCTCCGCCGTCCTCCCTGTTCTTCCTTCGCCCGCTCTCTCCTGCTCCTCGCTTCTGCTCCCCACTTCTCCCTCCTCCCCCTCCTCCCTTTTCCTCATCTAACCTTTCTTCTTCTCCGCCGCCTTCTCCTCCTCCTCCTCCTCCGCCTCCTCCTCCTGCTCCTCCTCCTCCTGCTCCTCCTCCTCCTCCTCCCTCCTCTCTCCATGTTTCCTCCTCCTCCTGCGCCTCCGCCTCCTTCCTCTCCTCCTCATCACTCCTCCTCCTCCTCCTCCTCCTCCTCCCCTCCTCCTCCTCCTGTATCCTCCTCCTCCTACTCCTCCTCCTCACTCCTCCTCCTCCTCCTCCTCCTCCTCCTCCTCCTCCTCCTCCTGCATCCGTCCTCCCCCTCCTCCTCCTCCTCCTCCCCTCCGCATCCTCCTCCTCCTCCCTCCTCCTCCTCCTCCTCCTCCTACTCTGCCTCCTCCTCCTCCTCCTCTCCGCCTCCTCCTCCTTCTCTCTCCTCCTCCTCCTCCCCCCCCCCCCCCCCTCCTCCTCCTCCTCCCTTACCCTCCTCCTCCTCCTCCTCCTCCTACCTCCTCCTCCTCCTCCTCCTCCTCCTCCTCCTCCTCCTCCTCCTCCTCCTCCTCCTCCTCCTCCTCCTCCTCCTCCTCCTCCTCCTCCTACTCCCTCCTCCTCCTCCTCCCTCCTACTCCTCCTCCTCCTCCTCCTCCCCCCCCCCCTCCTCCTCCTCCTCCCCTCCTCCTCCTCCCCTCCCCTCCTCCTCCTCCTCCTCCTCCTCCCTCTCTCCTCTCCTCCTCCTCCTCCTCCTCCTCCTCCTCCTCCTCCTCCTCCTCCTCCTCCTCCTCCTCCTCCTCCTCCTCCTCCTCCTCCTCCTCCTCCTCCTCCTCCTCCTCCTCCTCCTCCTCCCCCTTCTCCTCCTCGAGGGGGGCAGGGCGGGGCACCGATTTGGGGGAGGCAGGGGTCCTGACGTCCAGGCGCCGCGGACAAGACCACGCAATGGGCGTCCTCTCTT